TTAAATTAAGATCCCGCTGTAGCTGCTGAGCCGCTAGTTCAGTATCTGCTACACCACCCCCCTTGGTGTCATCTGCAAATTTCACCAGTTTACTGTATATATTGGTGTCTATATCATTTATGTAAATTAAGACTCCAGACCCCTGTGACTCTCCACAGGACAAGCGGATATAGAAAATGAATGGAAGGATTGCCTTCTGAAAGTCTTCAGGTCAAGATTATTTACAAACTGACCATGTAAATGTTGGTGACCAGTTTAATGCGACTGCAGGGAAATATATTTAAAAAATATTTTATTCTTCAATTTTCAGTTACTGTAAATGATTTGAATTACTGTGGCACCACTACCCCATCAGGTAACCCTCCAAATCTGGGCGTGTCCTCCTTCTGATACGCTGCCCTTCCCCATCCTGGCCTTACGTAGGTCTTGAGCTCGTCTCCCTGTGGTGGAGTGACGTCAGCTATGTGTCAGTATCAATTATCTATGCATGGTTTGTGCATGAAGAGATAGATAATGGAAGCCTTACGCTTACATCAGACTTTACTCCTGTAATATTTCATTGTGCTGGACAAGCTGAAGCACAGTTGTAAGCACAGAAGGACGTGGAAGTGCAGCGCGCCAGCACAACTTTGGCAGAAATGCCTCAGTGGATCAGCATTTTGGACGCATATGATCATTTTCATGGCTGTTACTCATTACGTCCCGCCATGCGGGTATAGCATAAAAATGCTCCACTCAAATTAGTACGACGTTTCAAACAATATCAGTACTCAAATGCAAAATGTTAACTGTTTTATACATTACAAATAAGGCAATATTATTTAAAAATTTTTAGCTTCAAATTTTTGACAATTCAGAAGTCGGAAGAAAACGCCGTGAGAAAATGTTACAGTTTTGACATTGGCAGATGATGCCGTCTTTGTAACTAAACTTGCTGCCTCATCTTCGATATTTGAATACGAGTATTTGAGTACAAGGCTGGAATTTGTAGTGCACAAAGGTTTAAGTGGACACTGATTCAAACCCAGCATGGCCATAGCTGGTTACATTTGCAAAAGAGGACACAATTAATTAAAGCAATATTAAAATGTGCCGCATTCAGTGTTCAGTCTGTGGTCTCCTGTTGACCTTCATTTATGCTGCAATCCCAGCTGTAAAACAGGACAAAGCTTGTTAATGTATCCCCACACAGCTAACAGTATGTGGTGGCTTTGACACTGAATATTTCAGATTTGTTATGTTTATCTGTTATCTGTTATTTGGTAACAACTGAGAAAATGTTTGCATTAAATAAATTCACTTGTGTAATGACTGAATTCTCTGTTTTCCCAGCTTTGCAGGGGCTATTGAGCACTTCACCACAGTAACTCAACAGCCCGTTTCAACTCGGTGCGAATACAGGAGGACAAGACTCACAACAGCACACTTCAGGTTTTTTTTCTCCTGCTCCAGCACAAGACCAGTTTTGCTGAGACTCTGAGAGGAGATAGGCCCTTCAATACATCAATCATGTATGGTAGTGCCAGAACAGTTGGGACTATGGAAGAAAGTCCGTCCCGGTCCCCCCGCCTACCAAGATCCCCCAGACTGGGGCACCGGAGGACCCCAGGCAGAGGAGGAGGAACCGGCAAGACGTTGTCCATGGAGAACATTCAGTCTCTGAATGCGGCCTATGCCACGTCCGGGCCGATGTACCTAAGTGACCATGAAGCGGTGGGGTCTACCACCTACCCAAAAGGCACCATGACCCTGGGGCGGGCCACTAGCCGCGCCACTTATGGGGGCCGAGTCACAGCCATGGGCAGCAGCCCCAACATCGCGTCTGCCGGCCTCCCGCATGGCGACATGCTCTCCTACGGTGATCATGGTGGCATGCCCCCACACTCCCATCAGGTGCCCTCCGGCCTGCGCCAGCTCCGCGATAATGCCATGCTGGACCTGCAGTCCCAAATGAAGGACCTGCAGAGGGAGAACGACCTGCTGCGCAGGGAGCTGGACGTCAAGGACAGCAAGTTGGGCTCCTCCATGAACAGCATCAAGACCTTCTGGAGCCCGGAGCTGAAGAAGGAGAGGGTGATGCGGAAGGAGGAGATCGCCCGTACGTCTGTCCTGAAGGAGCAGATGAGAGTGACCCATGAGGAGAACCAGGTAACGCTGCATGACACGAACCCCGTCATCTCTTTTGACCCAACTCACTGTCCTCACTTTTCTAGTTTTGTTGCAGCTGGCTTCTCTGTCGTCACTCTTCTGTCGAATATCAGTCAATTGCCTTGACGGGACATTGATTTATTTATCTTAAGTTCTGGAAAGCCCTTGTTTGGACACAGCATGTATTCACCAGAACGCTTGCAAGTGTTCTGCCCCCTACTGGAAAAATCACATTTGGTCTCGCATTGAAAAAACAAAGTGAATGTGGACAGACTGGAAGGCTGTCAGTAATGGCTTCCTTTTGAGGTACACAGTATAGATTGCATATTTTAAGGCTCACTCACTGAACGTGGTCCTGTTTCATTCATATGCCAGTTTTGCTTGCAGAAGGAGAAATGAAATGGTCGCCAGTACTGTGACAGGTTAAAAGGTGCGCTGGCTTTTGCTTTGTGGTGGTGCTACAAATGAACGACTGCATATTTAAAGAAATCTCCATGAGGATTCTGCTAAGTTTTAGTGCTTTATAAAAAGCTATATTTCAAATTATATAAAATCTGTATTTCAGTAGCATGTACACACTTCTTTGGGGAAAGCAATTTCAAATGTCATATAATTTAGTACCTACTACACCCTTGTTCTGTGTGTGTGGAGTGTGCATGTTCTCTCCGTGATGTGTGCCTCTCCTCTGGGGACTCCAGTGTCCCCCTACCGTTACACTAACTAATGTGTCTCAATAGTCTGTAATGTGAGTGCTTTCTGTGATTGCTTGGCATCTCAGTCATGGTATACCCCTGGCAACTGGGATAGGTTCTAAGCCATCCCGTCATCCTGACCAGGATAAGTGGATAGGAGATGGACGGGTTTAGTGCTTCACGGGAAACATGTTTAGTTATTTTTTTACCATAAAAATGAACCTCGGTTATGAGAATTCAAGTTTCAAAGCCTTGAATGGCATGCTTAGTTGCTTAGTTACCTACTTTTATTGAGACTGTGAAATATGCTGCGGCATAACTGCTGTAGTAATGAAATACACAAAACACAACCTAAGCTGCTACGACTTTATGTAAAAGCTGTAAATACAAAATGATGAACAGTGATGAATGTGAGGAGCGCAGTGTGAAATGGTCTCATGGCAGTAGTCATTTGGAATGCAGTCCTGTGTCACAATGCTAGTAGGAACTGAGTATTACAAAAAACTGTGTTGCGTGATTTTGTTTGTGAAATTTGGTAAACTGGACCTGCATATTAATCTTTTAATGATAGTCTAATTTTTGCCAAACAGCATGTTATAAAAAGAATCATTTACAGTATGATTGGATAGCAGAAGTAAATATTTAACCCTTTCTGTTTCTGCGATGGATGAGAGAACCCTGGATACACATTTTTATAAATTTGAAAGAAATGATTTGTGATGGCCCTGATAAGAATTATTAGAGTAACCGGATTGAATAAAAGCTTGAAACAAGAATTTCTCACGGTATTGACAGCAGAGAGCAGGAGATGATAAATGCCCAGGAAAAGATTAATGTATTTTCAGGCTTGTAGGAAAAGAATTGATCTTGAGATGAAAGAGTGCCCTTGTTAATATCTCACGGGCAGCGGTCTGGGCATCACAAGGGAACACTTTTTGTATTACCATTATTGATAGGAGGAAATAAATCAGTATGGGACATACTATAGTAAAATATGTTACTGAAGAGGCACAATGGCATTTAAGCCTCAGTATTCAGAACATATTAAAATAAGACGAAATGGACCCTTGAGTGTTCAAGGAATCCATGCATGGGCTTTGCTTTAATACCAAATGTTGTATGACATGAAACGATCTATGAATTTGTTAAGACAAAGTAGGGAGAAGCATGAAACCTTATATTACATCCATATGTTTCAATTCACACAGGGGCTATTGCATTGCAGGCAATGGTGTGGCTGTTTCCTGCTTTTCTTTTGTAATATATTGGTTTGGACAGGTAGACAAACCCTGTGTGACCCTGGAAGTAGTACTGTCATAAAAATGTTTTAGATCTAGATCCCTGGGCTTGAAAATTTCGAGTCTTTGTAAAGATATTTTCAGCAAATAATTTCTAATTATGGCTCAACATACAGTACTTACTGGAGTAAGTAAGTTGGAATGATAAGGTTAATCTCTTTGATTATGGAGCTGAGTACCACCTATTGCCAGAGATTATTGTAATATGGCTCAAAGAATAGTGTCAGACAAAGTCCCCTCCTAGGCATATACTCTGTTGTCATGGGAACACATTGGATGAATCTGAGCCGTTTTTGACACTCAGGTGGAAGTGAAAAAGAAGAAGATTTAACACCATATAGACACACACTGTCCGCATGTGACGAATGTCTTTAACGAAACCAAAGGCGCTAACAACACTAACAACAATATTCATTTTAGGTTGGAATCAGGATATTTTGAAATAAGGATAATGTAAATTAAGTAAAAAAAAGGAATACCATAAGTGTACTTAATTTATCAGCCAGTCAACACAATTGAATGATTACAGGAACTGTTATGCATATTATCTCTCTCTAAATATAGATTCTGATGGAAGTTGATATTTCATATTATTGCGTAACAGTTAAAATGCATGCTGTTCCTTTAGTGCACCTAAATATTTCAGTGTTTTGAACAAGATGTTACACTGCTGTATCTAGACCCATGTCTGGTATATTTTGACGACCCAAAACCCAGGTCCCTGCACTGTGTGTCCATACCAATTTTCTATTTAATCTGTATTTTTTTTGGTAACTTTCAATTCTGTAAAGTAGAAATAGATTTCACAGGCTTTGATCAGTGGATCCAGGTTTTATTGAACTCCCAGCTGACAAACCGTCACACATGTGGTTCATAAAATTGGCACACGTGGCAGTTTTCTTTCACATGGTTGTCCAGTGCTCTGCTCTTTCTCCATCTCCCTCATACATACTGTGCAGACATCTTTATTATGTTATTGGTTGTAGAAATGCACTAACATATCGCTGAATCTGGTGGGTATATTCTGACTACATGAAATCTTTTAAATTGCAGTGCTATTTTTCTACCAAATTTACATAAAAATCATAAACGTCAAGAGACTAAGGTGTAGAATCCCCAGGGCAGTGTCTCTTAATCCTCGTCCTGGCAATCCAAAGTATGTGCTTGTCTGGTCAAGCCCTTAATTAATTAACCTTGTCTGAACTGTCAATTAAAAGGTTACCAAGATTTTAATTGTGTTAAACTGACAATCTGTATGCTTTTTCTGCTGTGTTTAGGCCATCAGGTAAGGACTCGATTAATTTAAATGAATTTGTTATACATTAATGATTGATTGAAGGTTAGATTACATTTTTTTTCTTAAGGAATTCAACTTTGATTTGGTTTGACATCATTTTCGTCATACCTTTCATACAGTACAGCTGAAACATTAAAATGTATTTAAAAATGATCATGAAGAAAAAAAACCATCACCAGTGAGAGGAAGCATCAGGATTTTTAAACACTGCATTAAAATATAACCTGATGTTGAAAATAGCTGTCATTATGAAAGTCTTCTAGGCAGATGGCAAAGAATCTTAGTGTTTTGTGTCAGTCAGGCAGCTTGTTGCAGAGAGTGTCAGAGGGCCACACTTCTGCTGCTCAATGTTTCTGAAGGGCCAGCTAATCTTTGCTGGCTGGCTGATGGACAGCTCGTAGATGCATTAATGAATATTGATCAAAAGGATGTATAAAGTAAACACTGAACAGAAACCATATTCTGTACTGTTTATTAGAATCACTGTTTTGGTAGATGCCATTGATTATCACTGAGGAGAAAGGATGAAACAGCACTTAGAGCAGTATAATCAATCATGTGGTTTTCCTGGAGGGAGCTGCTGTTTGGAATACCGAGTCAATCTGCTAATTTATTTGTGTGCGTGTTTCCATTGAAAAAATGCTAATATAGGATATTTTGATTGACAAAGGATTCTTGGAGAGAACGTAGATGGAAATATAATTAAACGTAATGAAATATTACGAGTAAGATATGACAGATACCACAATGAATCCAAAAATGTTACGGAGAGGACCTTAAATAAAATAAGAAGCAAATAATGGTAGAAAATCCTAAATGGGATGCCGGTCCATTGAAGGGCACATACATACATACACTATGGCCAATTTCAAGATGATAGCCAAATTGCATGTTTTTGGACTGCAGGAAGAAGCCCGCATGACACTGGGAGAACATGTAAGCTTCACACTCACGGAGCGGAGGTCCGAATCGAGACTCCAACCAACCACAGGGCTACATTCTGAGTGTGCCCCTCGTAAACACGCAGACACTGTTACACGCTATACCGATGGTGTGTTGTGAACGCGGCACAGATTCACAGACGTCGCTCGTCCTCCTGCGTACAGTGTTCTCTTTGCCAGTTTTAAAAATGGAAAGCAGTCATCTAAAGATTAGGCAGCACTGGGATGCTGTCATTTGCCCCTCTGTGTCACTGGCAGGCTCCCTCACAGCCAGTGTCTGTACCTCTCTGTCCACAGCATGATCAGACTGCATCTCTGTAGCATAAGAGGGCCACTCCCATGCTTATGTACCCTGTAAGTGATGAGTCACCTTTGGACTGCAAGTAGCAGCAGTGACAACTTCTGTAGCCACTTACCCCCCCCCTCCCCCACCTACTTTTTAACTCCCATCATCTGGTCATGCGGAAGAGTCACGGCTGCTTTTTAAATTGCAGGTTGGTCATTTAAAATGCGGCATTCTAACACAAATCTGTGGGAAAGTTAAATCTGCTGGTGCCCCTAATGAATGGATTCCTTTCGAATTTTCTCCATCTTCGGGCAAACAATCAGACGGCTGTGCGGAGTCCTCCCTAGGAATGAAGCATTTTAGTTGCATGGGTAATAGTGGATAGACTGAACATGAGTAAAGAATGACACCATGTTACTCCGGAGAATTCACACTCTCACAGCGTTTTTTTTTCTTACGGGGCGTATTCAAATGCTGCTCAGTCTT